GTCACGACTCATGCAGCTGTAAGGTTTTCTTTCTCTTTTGTTTTTACTCGCGATCTTTACAACACGCATTACATTACGCATTTCATGGCACACTCGTTTTATGCGTATTTGGCGTCACCTAGTGTTGTGGGTGTATTATTGACATGTCTAAAATCTTATATTCGGGACAATACGGTACTTCAGTCTGTGTGCATTGAATTGATTTAATACACGAGTTTCACAATTTGAGTTGAATTACTGAAATAAACGAACTTTTCCACGACATTCTAATTTATTGAGATGCACCTGTAGGCCTATCCACACAAGCTAAAAAAAAAAATAGAAATATCTTGTCGGAAGAGATGAAAGGGGTTGTAACGCTACTTTTCACCCACAAAGATTAGGCTACACAGAATGTTTGGCTACCGTTTAAATTAAGCAAATGACTCACACATGTTCAGCCTAATTTTATAGATGTTTCACATAATTATTTTAAACAATTTATTATGTGCATGGCCAAATATAAAATCTCCATTTCAAAAAGTGTGAAAAACATTTCTGTAGTGAGGAAGATTGTAACGGCAACACTCTCTACGTTACAATATTAATTTGCGCAGCTGAGGGTATAGTAGACTTCTGTATCTATCTTTGTCTTTGTAGCAGACAAATGATAGAATATTACATCAAAGTTTAAGCCACACTGCGCAAAAACCTCTTACAGTTACAGACGTTGAAACGAAATGTGTTAGCCTACAACACTCCCAGCCCGGGTCTCCCCTGTACTCTTGCTGATAGATTATTTTAGCGACATCTACTGGCCAGACAAAGTACGTCAGCTAGAAAACAAAAATCACCATCGTTACTATTTGTAGGCTTCAGCTTGAATTATCACCATATGGACATTGCTGAAATTTAAGTTTTCCCCAATGCTAATATTGTTTTTACTGTAATACATTTTAAAAAGCAAATAATAAAAAAAAAACTCGAGAGACGGCTGTATTATTAATATCATTGCATTGTTCTATTCTATTCTATTATTACTGTTCACAGTCTTGATGTTGATGCAATATCCTTGCATTTTAAATGTTTTGGGAGTCCAGTTCATTTATATGCATTTCTCTAATTTTCTCTAAACAGAGAAAGTGTGTCAATGCAGTGTAATACACTTATTAGGACCAGTTGAACTTCAATTTCAGTTTTGCTTTCAGTTTTCTTTGAGAAAAGATCGTTTGCTCCATCGCAAAGCAATGAATTATACAGACAGACAAGTTCAGGGGGACAAACTTGTACCATCACAGCATTCTCATTCTGAGATATGGAGAAGAGCGTGATTCCTTCTATTATGGAGCTATGGAGGGTAGGCATGCTCATAAAGCTGAGCTGTCCTGTGAGAGATGCAGCTAATTTTGCATTTATACCACAGACCCCAGAAGTTGAATTCGTGCATGTACCTGTGTTCTTCCACTGTATTGTTTTTTGCTGTATCCCAGTCCGGTAGAGTACTCGCGCAGAGGATGACCATAGACATAATGACAAAAACCACTGACACTGATGCCAGGATCTGCGCAGCGACAGAGGAAGCTGGTTCCTCAAAAGTCCTCCGCATCCTCTCCAGCCACCGCGCGTTCCCTCTCTCGGAGGCGAACCTGGTGACCTGATCCTCCTCACCTCTGGACTCCACCTCAGCCTTGATGTCCTCCTCTGAAAAGTACGTGTAAGTGTCGGACATCCTATCTTCCAATCGTCGTTGGCAGCAAAACTCCAAATGTGAGCTCTCCAAGCCCCAGTAGATCATCTCGTTGTAAAAGGAAAGCTCGCACATCTGCGGGACAAACCTGAGCTTTCCAGATCGCACATAAAGCATAATAAAGACAAAAGCCTCGGAGTGCCTGTCGAAGAAAAACTCGTTGCTCTCTCGGTCATAATCATCACATACCTCCAAGACCTCCTTTTCAGAGGAACAGCTGTGGAGTCTGCTCACTCTTCGGAGGGGAAAATCCTTTATAATTTCTCTAGTGAAAGCATACTTGGTGCCACCAACGTTTAGGATGCATATATTCTTCCCAAACTTCATTTTGGATCAGATTTGCATCACCGATTCGAGTGAAAAAGAGAGTAACGACGCACAATATGGCTTAATGGTAGTCATAGTCAAAATCCAGTATGTTTCTGTAAGCAAGAGAAAAGAGAAACAACAAACAGCTCCGAACTCGCGAGTCCAACTCAGTAGGCTATGCCAGATTTTAAAAGGATTTTTTCCCAGATTGAGTGCGTGTCAGTTAGGAGAACCGTGGAAAAGTGACTTCTTGCTTTGTGCATCATCTAAACTCCAGCCTTCAGGGGGCTGTTTCATACAGTGATGTCACAGATCGACAAGCCTATTGCGCTCGATTGTGCGCTCCAGAAGAACGGGCGTTCCCAAACGCAAAACGAGTTTTTCACGACGCATGTCTGGGATTAACAAGTGAACTCGCTGGATTTCACCTCTCTCTGGTTGGCAGTGGAGTAGAGCAGGAGGACGTCACGTTGGACTGAATTAAATGTTCAATATTGAAATCAATATTGGACGCTTTTTTCCCTATTGGTTGTCTACCCACACCCTAATCTAAAATTAGAGATTGATCCAGGCCAGCAGTGTTGTTCTAGCGATTAGTTTACATCTCTTGGATGTAGCGTTTTTGTAAATCATGTAAACTAGCATTCAAGTAGGCCTAGCTAAACTATTTGATTGCCTTGAATGATTTTCTCTGTGTAATAAAGTCGTGAGTCTTGTGTTTTCAGTCGACTGGCGTGAATTAATAACTATTTTGATCTGAATCATTCCAACAGGTTACCAGATCTGAATCGGTTCGTGATTCAGTCTGAATAATTCGAAGAGCTCATTCCGATTCGAATCATTACTTATCTCTTTTTTGTGTGTGTGTTTTATCTTATTATATATATTTTTTATGTTGTATCAGGAATGTTCTATCAGGCGTTTTTATTTATTGTCATGGTAAAAATATTTTACATTGGCAAATAGCCTAGCCTATTATTCGGCTAAACGATGTTTATTATTTAATATGATGTTTTAAAGAAATGCACATTAACTAAGTTTAATTTACATTTATAATTTTTCAATGAATGAATCAGAATGCAAAAAGAGTGAATTAATCGGTCTTTTGATCCAAATCATTCCAACAGGTTACCAGGTCTGAATCAGTTCATGAATCAATTCAGTCTTAAGGATTCGATCAACTCGCTCACTCACTGATTCGTTACTGAAATGATCTTAGATTTGTTTTATATCTTATTATCTTCAATATTTTTAAATGTTGCATCAAGAATATACCCAGAGTAAAACTCTTTTAAATATTTATTGTCATAGTAAAAAGATTTACATCGGCAAATATTACAGTCTAAACTATGCTTATTTTAAATATTACTTCAAAATAAGTAATATAAATAACTGACGGTAATATAAAAGTAAGTATGTAAAAATGCATTAATCGATCCGCCGTCAAGCAAGAAGAAGAAGAAGAAGAAAATGCATTAACCAAGTTTAATTTGAAGCTCTGTGTAAAACGGGCATGAGTGTCAAGTTGAGGGTGCAGTCTGTAGACGTTGAGTCACCCTCCTCCTCCCCTCCCTCTTTTCTCTCCTCCTCTCTCATCATCAGGAAGCCGCTGCGCTCGAGCCTTTTCTAGTGCGTGAGTGAGTGAGTTACTGTATTGTACTGTGAATCTCGGGAGGGGGGCTGCAAAAAATCTCCTATTCTTACAGAGGTTCATGCCCCATATTTAAAACATCTTAAGCCGGATTGCTTTTTAACAGGTCACAGGACGTAGATGTCGTTTTGATTCACATATTTATTTTGTTTTTATTTTAGTTTATGGTTTGGTTTTTTTAACACTCCGGGAGGGCAGAAATGGCGGCCAACATGTACCGGGTCGGAGGTATGTCCGTCTATATTCTGAATTAACGCAAGTCAAAACACAGGCACCACCGCAAGACCTGTCTGGGTCTGGGAGGCAGGGGCTCGTTTCAACGGAATTGCCGCAACCGGCCGCTCACTTTTAAACTCTTAGCACGTGCAGTGTCCTTGCAAAAGAAAGCGATAACGTGGATGCAGAATAGTTTGGGTTCTGATGTGGGTCAGGCCTCTTAGACTATCATAGCCGCACTAGCATTTTAGCAAGCAGGCTATGTTGCTAGCTAGCCACATCATAAACAAATAATCATTACTATATGTAAAACACACGGAAACACGTCTATAGAGCACGCTTCTTTCGGCTTTGATCTTACAGGAGAAAAGCGAGTTGTGCTTGCGACCTAGCCATGCCGATTTTTGACGCCGATGCTTTTCTTTGTGATCATTTGTCTCATTTTTTGGCACGTATCCATTAGTTACGGGTCCTCAATCGGCATGCAAGGTAGCAAAGCGAGCTAGCATTTAACAGCAACCCCTCACTCGGTTTTCCACAGTGAACTTCTGCCCACTTACTCGCTGAAACATTGTGAATGTGCACTATTTTGAAGTGTATTTGTTGTTATGCGTCTAATCGTAAACACGTTTTAATACAAAACCGTCGTGTCGCTTGTTTGTGCAATTAGCCGGCTACACGCCGCGGAATTTGACATTGTTTCACGGCGCCGTTAATGCAGTGTCATTTAAAATGATTTTACAGCTTGAGCAGACGTTTGAATGCAGCGTCTATGTGACAAATTATTACATTGCACGGTTTTAATGTGACCCTTTCCTTGTGTGTGCTCGGTTACGCCGTAGATAACATGTATCGGAATGTGACTCGTATGGCCAAAAACAGAATACGCTTGTTAGCATGAATTAAGTGTTTGTTTGTTTGCAAGCATATTCTTCATCTTCATCTTGCCTTTAAGAGAAAGTGTTTTCTACATGTATACCAGACATAAACAATTAATTACTTGAACTCAGCCCAAGGCCAATTCTAAAGTCTTAGACTCATAGTTTCTGTGTGTTGTAGGGTACTTTTTTTTATAAACCAGACCCAGTAGTGCGTTATAAAATGCTCTAGGAATTTCTTTCATTATCTAAACATAAGTATTGGAGGTATTACTTGATTCAAAAGGTAGTGTTATCTTTAATACCTTGCACTTTATGAATACTTTAGTCATTACCCATTATTCCAGTCTGTAAGGGAGAGACCATTTACCTAAAAATACTTTTTGGTGAGGATTTTCTTATCTTAAATGCCCAGCAGTTATGATGAACATTTTCATTTCCCCCTATAGTAAATGAATGAACTATGGTAACCAGTTAAATCTGGGCCCAGTAGACTGTATTGTTTTGAACTGTATCTAAACCAAATTTCACATCATAAACCGTTCTATATTTGGTAAAATTTCCACATAAAGGAAATGTGCATTATGATTGCATATGTAATATAACATTTTTAATATACCAAGGATAATGAGATGCACTGTTTTTATGCAATGTGAATATATTAAGACTTTTAACTGTCAGACAATCCGGAAAATGTGGTTTTTATATTGATACCAAAATAATCCAGTGCTTTTGATCTTGTTCTGCAGATTATGTCTTCTTTGAGAATTCTTCAAGCAACCCTTATCTGATCAGGCGAATAGAGGAACTGAATAAGGTACATTTCCCTCAGGGCTGGGAGGGAGAAATCTGGGTTGGTGGACACTGGGTGTACTGGTAGGGTGTCGACAAAACATTGTCATGACATCGACACAAGAAGCTCAGCCACCTCGCCCAAAGCCAAATTACTTGCATTTCTGTGCGTTTCTCCCTTCGGTCTGTCATATCTCCAACACTTGTTTGCTGAGAAACTGTATCTGTGTGAGATCACAAAGCAGCAGACTGCATCCTGGGGTCCCTTTGAGAAGTAGGCTGTGGTGTGAAGCTGACATCTTTTGTTTTTTTGTAAGATGTCTGTATTATGACAAAACAAGATTCAGCTCTTTAAATATTAAATGCTGAGGGATTTTAAGCACCCCAGGTTTAGCATAACTCATAATGCACAATGCGAAATAATTTTTGTCAGCATGCTTCACTGCACAATATTCTCATCTGTTAGTCATCACTTCTTCAGGAGACGTGATGTATCTTTTGACATGTTTGTCAGAAGAGAGGATTCAGTTGTCTGGCAAATTCAGTTCACTTGCAGGTTGTTATTCTACTTGGCATCCGAACAATCAACTTGTGGCCATTGAGATCCATCCAGTCTACATTATCTTTCTTCCACAACCACTTCTAGAAATTGATAGTCCAGTGACACACAAGTGAGCCCACTCCCACTAGTATTTGTAAATATTAAGCCGCAAAACTATTCATATTTAAATATGAATTCTGCATGTCTCTGTGTTAATGAATGACGCAGACGCGCGGTTTTGTGTAGTACTCGTACTGAATCACTCGTGACGCTTCCGGTGATATTAACGTCTGCCGTCTCACTAATGAGGACATAAACACATGAACAACATCTCCAGAACTACTCTGAGAGTCACTTCATGAGCATTTGACCATTTCATCTGAGTAAAACTATCCTCATATCATACATACACAGAAATGTAATGGTATTCACGGCAACCCGTCAAAATAAAAGTTCGGTTTAACTTGAGGGCATTGGCAGAAATATATTACTGTTGTTCAGTAGAATGTACGTTACAGGCTGCTACTACTACTACTAAAATTATTAAAACCTCAATATATCTTCAATGTTTTAATTGCAATATTAAATTACCTTTATTTTCCAAAAAAATTTATTTGTTTAATTTTCATTACTTAAAAGATAGATTAAATGAATGTTTTATGCCTTAAAACAAAATGTAAATACACAACACAGAATTTCTGAGCAAAAAAATCATAAGGCTATTGTAAGAATAAATGAAGCTGTTGATCCACTGACAGACGGAGGTGGGCACGGAGAGCTGAGATAGTTTGGGCAGGAGGAGGTTTGGGATGATAGTGTTAAAGGCCGAGCTGAAGTCCACGAACAGGATCCTCACATAAGTACCTGGTCTGTCTAGCTGTTGCAGAACATAATGCAACAGAATTCAGGTAGGAAATTAAATAATGAAATGTAAAAATATAACATCTGTCTTCACTACATAAATTAAATATACATTTATTCTTATAAAAACTACAGAAGTTATTCAGTCAAAAGCAGTTGAGTTCTTTTTCGCAGTTTATTTTGCTTAACTCTTTAACTTCAAGCACATCCTGCACCTTTTCTCTGTCACATTTGTTTCTTTATTGCTGTATTGCTGTTTCTTTATTGCTGTAAAGTCAGTAACTTAAAACAGTCCTTCGCTATGTCAATATATTTACATACCACAATATACAGTTGAAGCAATGTTTACATACACCTTGCAGAATCTGCAAAATGTTAAAGGGGGTCATATGATGCGATTTCAAGTTTTCCTTTCTCTTTGGAGTGTTACAAGCTGATTGTGCATAGATAAGATCCCTGAAGTTGCAAAGACTAAAGTCTCAAAACCAAAGAGATATTCTTTATCAAAGTTAAGACTCTGCCACGCCCCC